CTCCCTCCTATACTCCGGCCCAATTCCAGCAGCATCTCAAGAGAATGGCAAACTCTGAGAGTCACAGTGAGATCTTACTGGCCTGTGAGCTTTCCACTGGAAGCACTGCACAAATTTGCCTGTGTAAATCAAAACATACACAGACATCCAAACAGACAATGCCCCAGTCACAGCGTGGCTTCCAAGACTCTGCAAGGATCTGTTGAGGACTCGCTTTTCTCAATGATGAAACTCACCAAGCATTTTTAAAATTTATGTTTTAGACCCCTAGTCTCCAGAGGAAAACTCTGCATAAAACTATTCTTAGTCTTCAGCCAAAAACTAAGTATTTTTCTTTAGCTCTTAATAAAACATATCAATGACCACTTATTCGCTGCAGTCCATAGTTTCATTTTGATGTTTGTTTGGTTTTGGTGGTACTGGGGATTGAATCCAGGGCATTTGCAATGAGCTACATCTCTAGCCCTTTTCTTTTCTTTTAATTTTGAGACTTAGTAACTTGCTAAGTTGCTAAGGTGCCCAGGCTTGGCTAGAACTTGTGATCCTCCTGTCTCAGTCTCTCACTTCATAGTCTACCGTATTTGGCCAGAAATTATTTTTTTTTAAAAAATAGTTTTTAGGTTTATAAAATTATAATAAAATATTCTAAAAATGAAGTTTCTGATCTAGTATATCTTTCCTGTCATTGCAGATTTGTTAATATTTCAAGTTAATCAAATAATAAAGTTTTCTAGAACTAGCTTCATTAATATCAGTGATAATCATAACAATAATAGTGATAATTATAGTAACAATAAAAAGAATAAAAAACATTTATTAAGAGCATACTATTTGTATCTCACTTAATCCTCACAACACCCTATTATTATCCTTTTTTTTGGTACCGGAGATCGAACTCGGGACCTTGCGCTTGCCAGGAAGGCGGCGGAACCACTGAGCTAAATCTCCAGCCCTACTATGCATTTTATAGTTAAAGACAATTATGAACCATTTGACCCCTCTTCTTATCTACTAAATGACATTCTTTTAAAAAAAAGTTGAGGTGAAGCAATTAGAAATGGGAAACATCTTCCTAAATCACAGAGAGCATTTCTCTAATTAGCTTGAGAAAAAATCTTCAGGTAAATCTACCAAGCTTAAGAGAAAAAAAATCATTTTAAAGGTTAGCATAGAAGAAAGGCCTTCTTGGAATTCACTGTCGTAAACGCAATTCTGGTGACAGAGGAAGCTGGCAGGGTCTCTGGGGGCCCCCGTCAGGCAAGCTGACAGCTAGCCTCACCCATGCAGCCCAAGGCCAGTGACTGCCTGGCAGGGGACGCAGACCCCTCTTTTCCCTCCTCATGGAAGCCCAAGAACCAGTCACAAGCAAGAGTGGTAGACTATGTCTGCATGTAAGACACCACGCTTTGTGCCATCAAGAAATAAAAAACTGAGAAAATACACCCCCTTACTCTCAATATATCTGAAGTTGTGCTAGGTATTTCAATGTGAGGGCTTGATTTTATTTCTCAAGTTTCTTTAGAAGTAGCCTGTCTGGTACAACTGCATCTCAAAGGCGGGAACATTCAACAGAGAAGCGCCGGCTCAGAGGTCTCAGGGGACTGGAGAGGACATTTAGTGTCACCCCTGGAACTGCAGAGATGAGGAATGGGTCCTGAGAAGGGGAAGGCCTCCTAGGGCCCATACTGAACTCCAGAAGCTGACTCGGAAGCTAACTGGAGCTCTCTTTCCCACCCAGGCTGCTCTGACAGAACTCGAGTGACCGAGACCAACTCTGGAATTAGAGACAGCTTCTGAACTCAGGTGATGCTTGGTGGGGTTCAGAGGGATTTACTAAAGTCCTCTTGACCACAATTTTGACTAATTTTGGATGAAACACTGACACTGATGTGAAGATTTTATTATGAAGATTTCAAAGCATTCAGTTAACATTTCATACCTGAGATAGGTGGAGAACTGAAGCAAAGAAAGGTTAAAGGGATGAGAGATGGGGAAGGAATAGTATTACAATAACCAGGTTATTTAAAAAGGTGTCTTCTGAAACTGAGGCCAGAGAGGCAAAGAGCAAAAGGATGCCCATTTCACATTTCTAGTATAGCTTCCCTCTGTGAGCTCAGTCTATAATAAATACCATATCACACTAATGTTCCAGCAGCACTGTTCGTAATAGTCCAATGGTGGAAAGAATCCAAATGTACATCAACAGATGATTGGATAAACAAAATGTGGTATAAATACAACAGAATACTACTAAGCCTTAAAACGGATGAAGTGCTGATACATGCTACAACATGAAGGAACCTTGAAATCACTATTCTATGTGAAATAAGTCAGTCACAAAAAGACAAATATTATATGATTTCACTTACATGAGGCATCTAGAATAGGCAACTTCATAAAGACGGAAAGTAGAAGAGAGGACACCAGGGCTGAGGAGGGGTAAATGGGAAGTTATTGTATAATGGACAGAATTTTTGGTTGAAATAATGAAAAGGTAGGAAATGAATAGTGGCGATAATTGTACAACACTAACTATAATGCCGCTGGATTGTACACTCAGAAATTGTTAAAATGGTAAATTTCATGTTATATTTATTTTACCACAAAAATTATATCCTTTCAATGCTCAGTTGGAATTTTTAACTTTATTTTATCCATTCATTGCCATTAAAGCTCAAATCTCTTCTCAAGAACTCCTTACTGCCAAGAGCATCATGGTCAATCCATGCATGTTCTTATACACAGACACACAAGTCACACACAGGCCACTTTGTGTCCTATAGTGACCATCACACAAACACCCACCCCAAGACCTCCCACGTGGCAACTCCAACATGGAGGCCCATGGCAAGACTAATGCAACCTGGGCTGGGGATTTAGCTCAGTGGCATTGCTCCTGCCTTGCAAGCGCAAAGTCCTGAGTTGGATTCCTGGTACGAAAAAAAAGAAAAAAGACAAATGCAACCAGTTACAGGAGATCCAGGCAACCAAACGCCCTGATTGACATACGGAGTCTCAACTCAACTCTTAAATTCCTCACCATGGGAGAATATGCATTTAGTACGTGTATATTTTATCTGGAGAGAAAATGGTTCCATGTACCAGAAAGACCACCAGGCCCTGCTCACCCAACTCTGCTCCACCAAGCCCATGAACAAAGAGATTCAGACCCTGCAAGGCTATTTTGGCGGAGTCAGCAATTGCATGTTGCACTGAACAGTGGGTGCCCTTAATGCAAATGCATATAATTAGGGGCTAAATCTTTATACCTTTCCAGGACAAAGTACATAATTAGCAGGATGTACCCTTTGTGACTTCTGAGGGAAGGAGAGCTTTTCATTTTTCCTTCAAAGAATCCATTTCTCATGAGGCAAAGAAATCCGAGAAAAAGAATCTTTTCAAATAGAAGTGGAGGAGGGAAGGAATATGAGTGTTGTATGTTACACTCATAACCCATCACCCAGACCAGAGAGGTGCCAATCCTATGCCACAGCATCACCTCTGCTCAACGGCAATTTAAAGGGTTTCACAGCCTTCTCATCTCCCATGGAACTGATAACTCAATCCTTAAGTGTTTAAAGATCTCAAGAGTTTGTGAAGACAAACAACCTCTAGGGAGTCTACCCACTGCCAACACACGTGGATATTTAGCAGAAATAATCTGCCACTTGTAAGAAGTCCACTCAATATCATTCCCTTGCGCATCCTAAACACACACATGTCAAGATCACATCAAGATATTTAGAGGCAAACATCCTTAGACTAATGTTTTGTTCCCAAAGTGCTTAATTAGCAGAAACACTATGCTAGAGAGCTGTCCTTGAATATGCATGCATTTTAACCTCCACGTTACTTTTTCTGAAGGACAAATTTTCCCCTTGCTGGATGGTCAGGAAATGACTGGGCACAGAAAACCAACTATCATAGGTGTTGACCTGCAAAATGAGTTCCATTTTCCAAGCAGGTTTCAGCTGCTCTTTAGCATGACATCCTTCCTGAGGGGGATCAACCACTCTTTGGAGTCTAAATGCCTTTTCTCCATTCATTTTGGACAAGCAAGGTTCCTATGGCCTAGTTATGCTCAAACTTTCTAAAAGCGTCTCCCACCAACTTCTGGCCTGCCGCATCTTCCTCCTGCCCCGAGCTCCAGCCAATTATGTTTATAAGACTTCAGTTAGTGCATTACAATTCAAATAACCCATCCATTTCATTTGTTTAGCAGAAAGTGGCCTCTGGATTTGCTCCATTGGAAGACCATCGGCCAGCAGTCCATATGGAAGAGCTGCACACACAACCCGGGTGATTTATTTATGACAACCATGTGTGTCTGATGCCCAGCTCCAGCAGGCTGTGGCTTCATTCTCATGTCTTGGTCTGGGACAGCCTATCTATTACTTTGTCCCATTTCAGCTACAGTACTTCCATGCTGGGAAAAGAGATAGGAAGGATGAGTGGGGGGAAGGAGGCTGCACATACAGATTCTCCTAACCCTGGTTGCCACATAATAATCTGTGGCTGTGCCCAAAGTGGGCCAAATGTCATTTGCTGCAAAGGTTTGCCATGTACAATGGTTTTCAGTGGAGAGTGGAGAAGTAGCTGCTAGAACTGACCATGTGGGGTTCATTAAAACTTGTGCATCTACCCATAAGGAAGGCTGAAATGCTTGTGAGGGGAGCCCCAGTTCTCATTTCGGGGATCCTGACCCTCATCATTAGCAAGGATACTCCACAGGAGAATGGCTCATACACATCAGAAGGTTCCGATGTGGGCTCCCACTTAAGTGCAGGAAACTTCTGGCTTCCAGTCTCCCCCACCCCGTGCCCCCCAGTTGTATTTATACTTTGAAAGAAGTTAGCATGAAGCAGTAGTCACCTGGGCGTGCTCAATTTTTGACAAGCCTTAGTCACTCTGTACCCAGCAGAACAATTCACATTATATTCCAAATCCTGTGAAGATTCTGCCACACATGCTAACACTAAAATTCCAGTAGCTCCACTTACCTTCTTTATTAAGCCTCATAACCTCCCTGCTTTTTCCACCCTCTTTTCCAGCCTCTTCTAAATCTACATCTGCAGATGAAAAAGAAAAGGAAGAGAAAATGAGGAAAAAAAAAGAAAAGAGGGGGTGGGGGAGAAAAAAAAGCCAAAGTCAAAGGGGAAGGGAGAGTGTTTATTTGCAAATAGAACGATATAAATACTGTCTATGAAAATCTTGCAAAAATTGACAATGCAATATTTTCTCCCAAGTCTGGGATCCCATCTACCTGGCCCAGATAGGTACCCAAAAAAACTATGCAAGCAGCAACAGAGTAGCCTTTTAAACATACCACGGTGGGGCTGCGAAAGCCCACCCCGCGGGCTGCCACGGGAAGCCGGGCACGGACAGACAGACAGGCAGACAGACAGACGGCCAGCCCTGGCAGCCGGGCCTCCCTGGGCACTGGTGATCTGTCTCCGTATTTATTTGGAGAGAGAGGGAAAGCATGGAGGACACGGGGGCCACTCTTCTCTCTCGCACACACACTTTTTCCCAGTGGCTCTAGGTGAATGGAAAGGTTACAGGATAATAAAAGGAGGAGGAGGCGGTGGGGTTCTTACTGTCGGAGCAGTGTAATTTGGCGGCGTCGATCCAGGAGGACCAGGGTTTGCCCAGAAACGCCTCCGGACTGGGCACTTTGCGATCCAGTGTCGCCATTGCTCTTCCTTCTTGTTGCTTTTTCCCTGTTCCTTCGGCGGCAGCAGCCGAGAGACACGGGATTCGAGAACGCTCCGACGTCATCTTCGGAACGTTCCGACATTGAGCGCTCCGAGCGGGGGAGGAGGCGGGCGGGGAGGAGGGGCCGAGTTTGGCGCCCGCCCGCCCTGCTCGCCGCGCGGCCGCCAGGGGCAGCAGAGAGGCCCCCTGAGCGCGCGCCCCAGCCCACCCGCGCCGCAGCCGGAGGAGGGGCGCTCTCCTCGCGCGCCGGCCGCCGGCGATCCCGAGTTCCGGGTGCCGCGCGACCCCGCCGCCACTGTGAGGCGCCCCCGCGGGGATCCCGGAGGCCAGTAGGGGAGAGGCCGAGCGAGGTTGCACCTGCCCCCCCCCCCGCCGCCCCGAGTCCGCGAGAGGTCTGGGGGCCTCGCCCGCAGCCCCACTCCTCTCCGGCTGGCCCACGGAGGAGACCTGGAGGCCTCCGCGGCGGAAGCAGTGGGCAGTGGGAGAGGCTGGGGCGCCTGTGCCGGGGTGCGGGAGCTGCGGGCCAAGCGAGCATCAAAACTCAGGCCGTGCGGGTCCCCGCTTCCGGAGCCGCCGGGGGACTCGGGCGGGGCCGGCGCCAGCGAGGTCGCCGTGGTTGGAGGTGGCGGGGAAGGTGCGGGCCTCGCTTCCTGAGAGAACTCCCTCCGGGTTAACTGCTAGAGAGGGCTCGCTGGGTTTTCTCCGGAGTTTGGACTTTGGTACTTTCATCGAGATTTTCCTCCCGGGGTGAGTAACAAAGACCCTGAAAGGTCCTCTGTCAACTCTTTTACAAACAGGCCTTTTTGTTTGTTTACTAGGAATTAGCTGAAATACACGAGCAGCACCCCCGCAGTATTTTCTCCCTGTTTCCCCAGCACCCGTTAGTTCTCACTGCTGCTGCTCCCAAGTGCTCCTTCGCTCCGTAGTCAGAGCGCTGCCCTTGCTCACACGGACCGAGTTCTGCCCTGGCCGTGCATCTGACGCCCTGGCACTTGGCACCCCGTACTTCATAGCCGGCGTTGGGAAGGGGACGGGCGATGAAGGGGGCATACAGACCCGTCTCCAGCTGTGACGTGTGCATGCGTGTGTGAATGGGCTCAACCGTGTCGCGCCCAGATAAGCCTCATTTGCCTTTGCTCTTTGGAAGCTTCCTGCCTCGCTAGAGTGCCAGAGTGCCGCTGGGTGGAGCGTTCCCATTTTTAAGGATGAGGGGTGGTAAGGAATATTTGTTCCGTAGTGACCTCTTCTGATGTGCTCGCCCTGTGCGTGGCAGTTCCTTCCTTCAGCCCATCCATCAACTTTCCCACCAACATGAGCCAGCCACCCCGGAGGGAGGGCCAGTGAGACTGACCTGGAAGAGGGGACGAGGAAACTTACCGTCTCCTTAAGGGAAATGTGACACCTGCCCAGGGACTGGCCGGAGACCGAGCATAGCAGTGAGTGGTGTGGTTTCCCAGGGCCCTGCCTGTCCACAGGAGGAGCTGGAATCTAGTTAGGAGTGATCAGAAGATGAGATCCTCGCCGGACCGTGGAAATTGGGAAGGGTTTATAAATGGTAAGGTGGAGGGGAACATTGAATAAAATCTCTGCTGGCTCCCTGGGGTGTTGGGGATGGTGAGATTGAGTAGCCAGGCCCGGGTCAGATTACCCACTGAACGGCAGGTTAGAGTCTGGATTTTGTTTGACAAGGGACGCCCCCCCCCCGCCCCGCCACGGGCTTTTGGCATTGTAAAGACAGCAGTGTGAGTTTGAAAGATGTTCTGGTTGGGGTGTCCAGAACTGATCGGACTATGGAGGTGGATTAGGAAAGGAGTGCTAGCCGGGCACAGTGGTGCATGCCTGTAATCCCAGCACTCGGGAGGCTGAGGCAGGAGGATTTCAGCGAGTTTGAGGCCATCCAGGACTACATAGCAAGACTGTCTCAAAAAAAAACCAGCGTTCAGGTGTGGATAGCTGGAGGCCTGAACCCTGGCAGTGTGTGCAAGTGGAGAAGGGAGCCAGTGTGGCGCTTCATGGAGAAGGTGCCTATCAGAGGGTGGGTTGTTTGGCCGAATTTTGGAGAGAGAGACAGACAGACAGACAGACAGAGAGACAGACATAAGCAATCACTAGAGCACGGCGCTTCCCATTCTGCCCTCCTGTTTTCCCTCTGTTTGTGATCCATGTTGGTGTTTATTCCTGTCTTGTTGTGCAGGCAGGGAAGGTGTAGGCTGGCCCCAAGATGGCCCCCAATGAGCCCTATCTCCTGTGTTCATGTCCTTGTGTGATTTCCTCCCCTTTAGTGTGGGCTGGACCCGGTGACTTGCTTCTAACAAGTAGACTACAGCAAATTTACAAGATACCATTTCCGAGTTTGAGTAACAAAAAGGCTGCGGCTTCTCTTGCTCACACTCCCATGCTCTTCTTGGGTCGCTGTCAGGAGAGCTCACTGTCACATTGTGAGTTGCCATGGGACAGGTCTGTGTGGCAGAGACCCTCTGTTCCCGTGCCCTGTGAAGGAGGCCTCTGGCCAGGCAGGACCTGAGGGCGTTGGTCCAACAGGCTGTGGGAGCTGATCCTGCCCATAGCCATGTGAGTGTGGCCACTTTCTGGAAATCAGTGCCTCAGGCTTCTAGAGTTCTCACTCCTCTGCTGAGGGCCAGTGCAAATATTCTAAGTAAAAATAAAGTAAAATAAACCAAGGATGGCTTATCACCAGATGTCAGGGCTCCTCTGTCACAGAGAAACAGACAGTAGTTCCTTATTTTAGCATTGGCTTTCTTCTGCAGCAGAGTCTCTCATGGAGGCTGTTGTTTAGGACCCAGAGGATGATATGATAGCATCATTCTCTTCTAGCTGGCAGGATTTTACTGTGTAATATAGCAAAGTGGGCTGAGACTTAGTGAGACCTTGTCTCAAATTTTTTTAAAAAAGGGCTGGGGATGTAGTTCAGCGTGAAGTTCCTGGGTTCAAACCCCAGTACTATACCAAAAAAAAAAAAGTTTGGGCTGGAATCTAATAGTGATTGTGATGTAGCATCCCTACAAAAGACTTTGGATACATTGCAATGTTTAATTGATGATCAGAACACATATAGATTATTGCCGTTTGAGTGCTGTCCATAGGATTGTAGAGTTTCTACTCAATATTCCACAGCTTCTCTGCTGACTATAGAAGTTATGCCAACTTTGTGACACCATAACCCACTTGCACTGTAGGATCACATGGCTGTCAATTAATTGGCACAGCCAGGAGCTAGAGAATAAAGAAAACATCATCTATCAAACCACTAAGACTTTTACACTTGACTTTGAATGAAAATTGAGGGCAGTTTGTAGTAGTGCTCAGATCAATGTAGTGCATATATATTATTTATTTATTTATTTATTTTTTGGTACTGGGGATTGAACTCTGGTCCTTGCGCTTGCGCAGCAGGTGGCGAAACTGCTGAACTAAATCCCCAGCCCTTGCATATATATTATTATAAACACATTTATACTAATATCAGCTATGTCTATGGCAAATTTATTGCAGATCTGAATTCCTTTTGGTTGTAAATGATTGCAAATACTATTAGAGGAAGTAAGAATCTTATACATTCTTTTTTTTTTGGTACCGGGGATCGAACTTGGGTCCTTGCACTTGTGCAGAAGGGGGCAAAACCACTGAGCTAAATCTCCGGCCCAGAATCTTATACATTCTTAACAGGAATAAAGTGACCTGCAAAACAGTAATTTACAGCATGATAGTGTAATGTTTGTGGGATAAACTATCTGATAAAAGCATTACACCCTCTCATGATTAATGTTTAAGAAGATAAAGAAGATATAAACATTTTATTATTTTATCATCTTTAGAAAATGATGGAGTGGTTGGCTTCAGTAAAAAGGAGACTGTACCACAGACCAAATAAAGAAATCCCTTCCATGGAAATGACAGTGAAAAGTATCTATTTAACTTGAATAACACTTGGTTCTATAGCCATGTGTGTCTAACATGTGTCCTCCATTCACTTAGTCTTATTCACGTGCTGTTTCCGCACAGTACCGAAGAGAGGAGGAGATGGTTATTAGCTCTCTCATTTGAGGGTATTAAATTCCTGCTGGGGTTGAGGCATTATGGGGTACCCTACCTCCTGCCTGGGCTGTTGTTGAGAGTTACCTGCGAGCAGCAAGGAGAAAACAACATATTCCATTAAAATGAGGTGTCCCTGGAATTGTTTGATGTTCTTTGGCTTAATTGAATCCATCCATTCCATCTGCCACTCTTCTCTCTAAATTTATTTCCCTAACCCACTCTCCCTGAGCATTATAATTTGGGGGGAAATTTGTTACATATGCTGTTACTTTTTCTAAAAACTCTCAGCATCTGGAGGGCAAGTGTGCTGTCTACCTTGCTGTCAGACAGCTTTGCCTGCCTCTTTTCTGCCCGTCCTGTGGTGATGGGCAGAGTGGGGATAAAAGAACCCCAGTAATAACTGGAGTAAGAAAGAACGGAGGATGAATTCCAGGCTTTTGCTTATCAGTTTCCAGACCAGCCATGTGCGGGTCTGGATAAGCTTGAACTCCATCAATAAATATAGCCATGAAGTTGTCACATGAAATTTGCATCCCATCAGGGACAGAGACATCCCAGTGGGAGTATGTGATCTGCCTTAACCTCCCCCAGCAGAGTCCTTTGTGACCTTGTTCCCTCTGGGCTCCCTGGAGCATCTTGGTACTCCTCTGCTTCCTGATGTAGCAGACCAGCCCCAGCCTGACCACAAGGGTAGATGAGAAGCAATAGCCTCTCTCCAGCATTGCTATAGAAGTCTCCTTTGGCCCTTTACCTAAATATAAATAAGTTCAACATTCCTGAACATTCACAGGGGCAAAGCCCATCTACCTCTCCAAACCCGCCAGTAGCATGCCAAAGAAGCAGTGTCGGTTGGAGGCCAGAGTGAGGGCTTGAGGTATTAAGTTACTATTGCCCTGTAGTCATTTCGTTAATCCATGTGAACCTCAGTTTCTGCATCTGTTAAATGGGTCTGAAGGCTCTTTTTTTTTGATACTGGGGATCGAACTCGGGTCCTTGCGCTTGTGCAGTTGGTGGCGAAACCACTGAGCTAAATCCCTGGACCCC